TTTTTGCGGGGCTTGGTCTTGGTGAGTGGAAAACATTGTGTGATGTGTTTCTTCAACACAGCTTTGAAAAAGCTGAAGCTCTCGTCAACATCAAGCCCGTTCATGACCCCCCCAGTCCTCAGTGCTGATGAGCCTGTTTAGCTCCACGTAGTCAGCTCTCCAGTAGTTGTACTTCTGGACGAATGACTCAGTTTTGCAGGCATAGCAAGCGAGCTTGAACCTCAGGGTGACATGATCGTTGTTACCCAATCCAGGGAGATATGACATGTTTTACCCTCCTCTAACTCAAAAACTAAGAGGGCTAGAAAGACGCGGTAAAAAGCAGTCGATAGCTCTCTATGCGTACGTTTGAAAGCATTCAACTTTACTTCCAACCAACTTCACCCCATTGTTGCTTGTAGATAAATATAAATATCTCGCCACGCCACTGCCCCGAGACGCTCTCCAGATTTTGAATCGCTTGTTATGATTCTGTACCTAATGCCAAGAAAGATGCATTGGTAACCAGTGTTGTAGCTAATTCATAGGCGGCGGAACGGGGGGGGGGGAGGCACCTGGGCACCGTTCCCCCTTTGATTTTGGCATTAACCCGCGCCCTGCTGGGGGGGGGGGGTGTTGCGCCGCCGTTTTTGGTACACCTTATCATACATCAATTCTACACACGTTGTGAAAATTTCAGACCAAGGTCATTCAAGGTCAGGTCACCAGGTCACTTGAAGTGACCTCACCTCATAAAAAGTTTCAATGTCTGTCATAGCTACACCGAGTGACTGATCGCTTTGAAACTTTCAGCGATTGCTAAGAGCAATAGCATGTACAAAATGTATATCTCATAATTTTGATATCGATGACCTAAGGTCAGGTCAATTTTGCGACCTCCCCATTATATGTCAATGGGAGAAAATTGAAATGCGCCTCTTTTGGACGAAAGACATTATAAACACTCCCAAACACCGAATTACAAGTGGTTTAGACACACTGAACATGAAAATGGTGTCCGTGACCCTTGTTTATGCCCTGAGGTCATCTTAGGTCACGAATGGTATCTAACAGTTTTTCGCAAATAACTTTTGATAGAGGTATGCTAGAGCGATAAAAACGCCTTAGATGTGTTCAGCTCGACGATACGGATCGACTGATATGCAACATGACCCTTTCCGGTCAGGTCATGACCTTGACCTGAGGTCAAATTTTCAAGTTGACCTTTCAAGGTCAAGGTATAGTTCATTCGATGCGTCTTGACGAGAGGAACACGATGCTGGTAAAAGTAAGCTCGTACAGGGCTTGGGTCAAAAGTTATTGCAGAAAAACTGTTTCCGAAAAAATCGGTTATTTTTGCAGTTTTTGCCCCCTGCAGGCAAAACCGTTGACGTTAGGTCAAATCTGATAGGATCATTCAGAAAGGGCGTTAATAGGGCTATCGAATGCGCTTTTCCGCGGCGCTGTAGCTTTATTGGTTCCCGATTTATGCGTTGGCTTCTTGGAAATTTTCGACATTCAACCTGGAAATCGGCGAAATTTTGCCTTCAATGACCTCTGGTGACCTGACCTTTGACCTGACCAGAAAATTGACCGAAGTGATTTCGTCATTATTTTTGACGCTCTTTCGAACGCCGCCTTCCGCGTATCGCTACGTGGCCCAGGAGCCGAGTTACAAGGGGGGGGGGTGTTCAAACACCCCCCCCCCCCAGCAGGGCGTGGAAATCCAGGACCCCCAGCCGGGCGCGAGTTAAACCGTGCCGGGCCGGTGCTCCACCACCTCCGCGCCGGGTAGGGGGGGGGGGTGTGTGACTGAACACCCACCCCCTTTTTAACTCGGCTCCTGGGCCACGTAGCGACATGCGGTAAGCGGCATTCGAAAGAACATCCAAAATAAGGACGAAAACACTTCGGTCATGTTTTGTGTCAGGTCAAAAATCAGGTCACCAGAGGTCATCAAAGATAAAATGAATTGGTTATTTCAACATTTTGGAAACATCAAGGCTTATGAAAATCGTGAGTAGGGCTGGGAAAAGCAGAAAAAGGATCACGTGACTCGCGTCCCAACCTTATCTGTAAGAATCTTGGTTATACCAACAGTCGGAACGCATTGATTCTGTTTACACACCGTTGGACCCAAGTTGGACCCATCCGATTGTATACGACTCAATCAATAGCAATCACTTCAATCACGACAAATTTGGGAAACCAATCAAATCAATCAAGTCAGAGCAGTTTTCGGGAATTGATTCAATCGACTCAAACGCGACAATGAAAGGAATCAATCAACTCAATCAAACGACTCAAACCAAGACATACATTAGGTTTTTTTTGCCCTACCAACTTGGAAAAGTGTCCATACAGTCTGGTGTACCTACCTACCTACATACAGAAGATACATAAAAATATTGTCATTTAAAATTATAAATTGCCATGCCATTCAAAGTTTCTATGTAATAAGGAAGGATACCTAGTGATGGACAGGTGGATCATGATGTTGAGGCTCAATGAGTAGAATTGGAGCAGAAGTTTCATTTAATGGGTGCAAAATAACCCAGTAGTTGACTCGCCCCTTAACCCAAATCACCACCTTTCACCTAAAAGTTGTCAATTTAATTTTGGCCATATTCCAATTTCCAGCTAAGTCATCAGGCCATCTACCCCATGTAAAGCCCCTGTCTGTCTCTTATGTGAGTTATGCGGAGCTCTTCTGAAATGAACCCTGAACATAATGAACCTAGCTAGGTTTCATGCCACACTGACACCATATGAAAGTGTTGAAAATGTGCTACAAATTTGACAGCTTCATTAGGTATGCTTTATGAAGACAGCAGGAAAGCAGGTAGGTACCTACTTACCTGCCTAGATGTGTCACTGGCTACCAACAGTACCAACGAAGGTAGATAGGTTATATGTGAAGAATTCAAAACATTTTATTGCAATACAATTTGAAACTGTTAGGACTGGGGGATAGGGATGAGGATTAAAAATATATTTAAAAGGAAATGGAGAGGACAGGGACTCTGGAACCAGAGGATAAGTTAAGGACAAAGGAAGTAGGAACAAGGAAAATTAAAACGCGAAAACGGCACGGTGCGACTGCGAAGCAAAGAAAACGTTTTGCCAATAAGTATGCTAAGCTTTTATAAATCCTTATTCTATGTCTTTTGATTTTTTGGTAAGAGGACGTCATTGATTATCATGTCGTATGGTAGATCATCATAAAATAAATCCGTTGTACACACCAATTTCGTTTTAATTATTATTTCATTTGAAATAAAACCACTTAATAATATTCGGTAAAATATTTTAAGGAAAATGAAATATATTAAATATGTTATGCTTAGGCTCTCAGGAGAAAAGGATCAACAAACGTTCTGCTGCAAATTAAACAATGCAGCAAATTAGCTATTAATAAGGTACGTAAACGTAATTAGCGAGACGAAAACGGCGCTTTTGTTTCAGTTATTTTTGTAGGAACAAGGAAATCGGCGGCCGGCTGATCGGCGGCCGGCTATTACTCTTGCCCGCGCTCACATACGTGCACGTTACCCCGGCAACGGGCTATTGACCAATGAGAAGCGAGAAAAGTGTTACGTCACTGCGATTTTTCATATACCTGTGCCCCCCGGACGTGACGTAGTGTGCTCGCGCGCGTGCAGGTTCTCTGCGATCGAAAAAGAGCGCTAGCAGCGCGCCACTCGACGCCGCCATTGTCTAAAGCGGCGTGTTAATATGCTTTATTATGAATGACGTGTGTAAATGTGAGTTTTTATGTTGCTAATTTGGAGGAAATGGTTGGAATAAAATAAGTTATTTTTATTTCAATTGGCTGGAATTTTTATTCAAAAGATTTCGGTATATAGCATTGATATTTACTGAAAATACCTTCGTTTGAATAAATTGCAGATAGTTGGCAACTGAAGTGTTAGGTAAGCCAAAATGATAAGTAAAAAGATAAGAGACACCCTGATTATCATTTGAGAAACGAAAATATATGAATTTCCCTTATAAGACTCGCTTAATATGCTACTCCGCGGTTTATGCCCCGAGGGTGTCCGAGAGTTCCCGTTAGTTTGTCGTTGGCGCTCGGCTCGCGCGCGAGCCGTCATCGCCCGTGACGTCGGCTCGCGGAATGCGTCATACCCTGCACACAAAATAGCCGGCTGCCGAACAGCGCTGGGGTTTCAGATATTTATGATATTCATAGAGTTCAGTGGGTTGTTTCTGAGGAGATGTGGAGATGTGAATTATTAATTAATCACCCTTTATTAGTATATAGGGCCTTGCACTTTATCATCTGGATTAAAAAAAAACGTTTCCTGCTGAGTGCAGAAAGGTAGGTAGGTGCATCGCCAGGTTCTATCACCAGGATTGGAGCAGTTATTGCAGTTGAAAGTCAAAGTTGGCTGCTCATGTTTAGGCCCTGTTCTTTATTTGGCCATCTACCCCATATTGCAGATGTGATGAGAAGCAGTATTCAGTGTAGTTTTGTGATCTTTGATGTTATCAATTGGTGTCATTATTTTTCGTCAACTAAAACTTATTTGAACTTTCCATTCAATCGACTCAATCATACGAGTCACTCTAATTTTCGGGAATCAAATCAGTCAACCAGTCGCTAAAGTCAAACGAGTCAGTCAACCAGTCATCTAGAAAAGTCAATCGACTCAATCCAATCAACTCAAAATACGCGTTGAAACAAATCAATCAATTCAATCGACTTGATTGGTATGCAACCCTGCTTCTGTGGACACGTGGGTCAGGGGACGACCGTTGACCACCCCCTCAACTTCCGTCAGCACGGTCTGCAGTGCTTCGTCCGTGACAGTCAGCTGGCTCATCACTGCTCTCAGAGCACGCTTAACGGAGGATATGAGCCGCTCCCAGGCGCCCCCCATGTGACACGCACCTGGCGGGTTAAAATGCCACTTAATGCCATCTTGTGCGAGGCGGTCACTGATGGCGTGGACGTTCCATGCTTAGATCTGCCGACGCATCTCCCTCTCTCCTGCTCGCAGATTCGTCCCGATATCAGAGAACACTTCTTTCGGTCTGCCTCGCCTTGAGACGAATCTGCGGAACGCCATGAGGAAGCTGTCGGTGCTGAGCGAGTGGCACAGCTCGAGGTGCACTGCTCGGGTGGCGAGGCACGTCACCAACAGTCCGTACCTCTTCTCATGCCGTCCTCCCGTCTTGACGAGCATAGGACCAAAAAAAATCGAGACCGACGCTGCTGAACACACACTGCTGGCGTGTCGAACCGCGCCGGGGGCAGATCTGCCATCTTCGGCTGGCACGGTTTTGCGCGGCGCCGGCGACACACCGGACAGGTGTGCAGGACTCTCCTCACCATTGCTCTCCCTCTGGGTATCCAGAATAGCTGTCGCAGATCTTTCAGTGTCTGCTCGACTCCGGCGTGCAATAGCTTCTGGTGGACGTCCTTCACGATCAGAGCTGTCACGCGGCTGCACACAGATCCATCGCAATTTCAAATGTGGCTAAAACCTCGAATAATGACCATTTTTAAATTCCTTCAGTGAGTGATTTTTTTAACACAAAACGGATTGAAGCATCTGAAATCACCTTCGGCATATTTGTTAACCACCTGATCTCCGCTCACCGCAGTCGTGAACCTGGAACTTCTTCGGAAGCGCATGGTAGACCCAAAAGACATGTGAAACGCGCGCAACTTTGAGTGACTGTAACATTGTAATAATTTGATCGAAACCGCAATAAATGGGCATCGCTGTGTTGCATGGTTCGTGCTGAAAATTTTGGTAGCAAAAATAATGTTTTAGCTCGTCATCAATGCCATGCTAATAAGCAATGTTCGGGCACATGCATCACAGTCCGCATTTTCACTCATCGCATACTTGACAAAGGCCTACAAGAAAATCATCAATCACCCCCAAAATTTGAATAGCTTAAAATGAGCCTGAGAACGTTCACAAACGGTTCCCGAAAGAATTAGCTGGGCATCAGTGGTCAAACTTTTGCTATGGGGGCAGAAGTGATGTGATGTCGGGCGGATTCGGCCGGCCGGCTGACCCGCGAGTCAGCGTCAGCTGTTGCTAGGCTGGGTCAGGGTCGACCGAGGTCAATAGACGCGTTTACATAGGGTTTGTTGCAAGCTTATTTCTCCGTCCGTGATGTTGCAAAAGATGCCAATGGTGCTTAACAATTTACAAAATGATCCCCTCTAAATATTTGAAGATCACTGCATCGAAATTATCGCCAAATTAACCCGCGAGTTGCTGGGGGGGGCGTTAAACGCCCCCACTTTTTTCGCCGGGCCATAGCATAAAAACGGCGCGCCGCAGGCGCGCCAAATTTTGGGTACCTGTAGGGAATTGATTGAAGTTCATTGTGACAAAGTTTCAAAAAATCAGTCGGAAAATTTTTGAGATATCGAGGTTTTAGTGACGTCATGATTTCTGAGTTTTCAACCAAAAACGGCATATGTTCAAAAAATCATATAAAATCACAGAATAGACATAAAGACATGCCGTAAACGCCATTAGACTGCCAATACCATGAACAATCAAATGGCTATCTTCGATTATTGATTATCGTTCGGCATTTTCCAAAATCTTGAACTGAATCTTGGCAATTTCTCTTGACTACTTCACGACCATGATACATGCATTTCTTAAATTGAACTTTTTGAGCCAAACACGTACACATGTGATAAAATCAATGTCACCATCGTGTTCTACGCCCCAAATTACCCATAAAACATGTGTCACAAGCTGCGAATATCAGTTTTGATTTTCGGGGATAGGTATGTGCCTAGCCGGTTGACCTGACCTTGACCCTGACCTATGCTTGACTGACCCCTATATGGAGCTGACACTCTTGTAGGCCTTATATGATGGATTGTGCACCGTTTTGACATAGTTTATGACGAGAGGCGCCCATTGCGAAGTCCTGAAGTCCATGCTACTGAAAGCCCGATTTCAGGTGTTTGACCTGACCTTGACCCGACCTGTGACCTCAAAATTCAACTTTAAAGTATTCATCTGAAGCGTCTCGTCGCGTTCTTTCGTTTGCCGCCTCGTGCGTTTCGCTGCGCCTATTGGTTCTCGAGTCATCGGCTGGGGGCGTTTAACGCCCCCCCCCCCCAGCAAACGGTGGGTGGCGAAATACCCCAGCAACTGCCGGGTTAACAAGCTAGAGCCTCGTCAAAAATGCTATGTAAACCGGGTTAATATTGGCTGGTTGCCAGCGGGCGGGGAGGCCACGGGAACTGCGTGAATAATAAACAATCCTTGGCCGTTTCGGTCCGTGACTCGCTGTTCGCTCCATTTCAACCGTGAGTCGTGGCAGCGGAGAAGATAGCGGTGTGTTGGAGGGAGATGCACCTGTCGTTTTGTTAGCAGATCTTAACAATGGAGCTGCGACCTGCGTATCAGTAAAAGAGTATTTTTTGATGCCGTTATTGAAGGAGGGATGCTGTCCAAGCAAATGAAGAACAGCACCGCGCATGCCGTGCAGCTGGTCTGGTCGCAAAATTCAAATCGGAGAACATTTGACTCCTGTCTTGGCCAAAAACTGTCCAAATTTGCCCAAATTGGATATTTTGCCTATTTTCGACAGTTTTTTTTGCCAAAACAGGGGTCAAATGTTCTCCGATTTGAATGTTACGACCATATTTGGAATTCTCTCATCATTTTACGTATTATAGGCCCAAATTAGTAACGAGTTTTACATTTTCATTTTTGACCTCCAATGCATTTTTGAATTTTTTTTTTTTCAAAGTAAAAGCGCACATAGTAAAACGCGTCGGAATGATTTCATATTTTGCACTTTTCATACTCTCACCAAATGCAACCAGACGCAGGATGGGAAACGATGATCCCAGACAAAAGTGTTTTTTACGAGCCCTAAAATAATCCCTCTTCAAAATTTCGCGTATCGCAAAAAATGTGGTTTAAAATGGCAGAAATATGTCTCATTTTCTAAGAGCGTGATTCATCTGCTTTCATTTGAGCCCTATATTACATCTCTAGCTTCCGTAGTTTTTGCGCTAGAGGTTTTGTCCACATTTGAATTCGAGATGGACCTGTGTGGGCTGTCCCGCGGTAGGATGACCGGATGGCGGGCGGACTCAGGCAGAGGGGCGTTCACCAGCCGCCCACCGACTCGAACCAGGCCGTTTTCATCAAGAACTGGAGAGAGCATAAGTAGACAGCTACTCGTGCTGATGGACCTCCCGCTTCTCAGCGCTGCAAGCTCTTGAGTGAACGCCCCACGCTGCACCTCCCGAATGACAAGATTCTGTGCGTCTTGCAGCTCATCAGCCGACAGTGGACCACTTCTCAAGTCGTTCTGGCGGTCTTCGAACGAGTGAGATGCCACGAAGTTGACCAGGAATTGCTGCGTCCAGCCGACCCCACGCCTGTAGCGCAGCCAGCTTGAGAATCGCTCTGGGTCAGGAATGACCGCGGTTGCCGCTCTGGCTTTGTGTTGAGTAGCTAACACCACTCTAACTTCAGGGTCCTTATCAGGTAGCTTATGCTGCTCGCTACCAGCCGGCCAGCAGGTTTCTGGCCTCCACAGGAAATCGGGCCCACGGATCCAGCGGCTGTCCTTAGTGAGCGCAGAGGCTGTTAGCCCGCGAGAGCAGTCATCAGCTGGGTTGACCTCACCAGGAACGTGTCGCCACTGGCTGGGCTCTGTCAAGTCACGGATTTCAGCAATCCGGTTGGCCACAAATGTGTGGAATCTCTTGCTGTTGTTGGCTATGTAGTTTGAAACCACCTGGCTGTCGCTCCAAAACACCACCCGGTGCACCTCTTCAGTGAGCTCTTGGACAACCGACGTTGCCAGACGCACAGCCAGCACAGCTGCCTGAGTTTCCAGGCGCACGATAGATAGTTTCTTGAGCGGCGCGACTCTGCACTTGCCCATGACAAACGCACAGTGAATGGCTCCGTCTGAGTACTCGTGACGCAGGTACGCGACGGCTCCGAAAGCCTTTTCAGATCCGTCACAGAAGACGTGGAGATCTCTTTTCAGGGGGACTTCTTCCTGAACGCCATACCATGGATGATATAACACTGGATTGGTGTCTCGTGGAAATTAACATTGGGATCCGCGACATTGGGATCAGGCCTGCCATCTAGCGAGAGAATTATCGTAAGTTAGGAGCAAGCCGAGTGAACGCCATCTCTCAGCATTATGACACACGTGGGTGTGGTGTGTTAGTTGGCTTACAGTGCATATTCCCACGAGTTGGAGGTAATCTTACTGGACTTGAGACGATAAAAATGTCTTAAATGCTTGCAAGCCAAAAATGTCAAGCAGCATTTAGGTAATAACGAAGATAAAATGCGTAAGACGGTGTGTATTGAAACGCCCAGTCCCATCGGCCTGTGCGACCTTTTCGATGGTCATTTACTCACAATGGTACAGCAGTTTGTCAATATGTCATACATATTTGGTAGGCTTATTCCTTCTCCGAATTTCGCTTGATTTTCTTCATCTTAGTTAATTGTTACGGCACGTGCCACGTGCCAACTTAGGTGTGTCGAAATTGTTCCACATAAAGTAACTCCGCAATGGCTGGGCCCATTACAGTAAAACTTCGTCAATAGCTAGGCACCCAGTGGGGCAGTGGCCAATGCATTTCCATGTGTCACATGAGGGTGCTACTGCACGTGCGCACGTGCGGGGTGCCGCTTCCATATCTCAAGAGCGGCTGGGCGGATAACACTCAAACTTGGTACACAAATGTCACATCGATGCTCGCACTGCATTGATCAGTGCTTACATTGGTGCAGAGTCGTTAAGAAAACGATGAAATGAGATGCGTGGTGTTTATGCCTTTCTGTTCCAGCAGCTGATTGATCCGCAACAGGAGATCCTTGTTTGTGAAGGCTTCGTCTCCTTTTTCCACCCCTTGTTTAGAATAACATTAACAATGTACGAAGAAGATCACACATACACATCAAAATTGTTTTAGGCGGCTCTTTTAGGCCAGGGCTGCGGAGTTGTAGTCAGAGCCAGCGGTTCAGTTCCGACTCGGAGTCGGTTGATTTTTAAAAGCTGTAGTCGGAGGATGAGTCGAACGTCACCAAAAAGTCATCGACTCCACAGACTTACCAGGGCTGCAGAGTCGGAGTCAGAGTCAGAGTCTGTGTGAATCGACAGTTCTGCCCGGAGGAGTCGGAGTCGATATTTGGATAGGTACCGGAATCGGAGTTGGAGCCAAAGTCACTGAAATTTCATCGACTACGCAGCACTGGTTGGGTCCTTTTCATAGACCGTCTTGAATGACACTATTGAGCGGCAATGACGTTAGCAATTCCGTTCAAATTTTTCATTAGGCTTATAGATAGCAAGATAGATAGTAGGGTGTCCAGGAAAAAAAGATACTACGGAAATTAAGCCGCATTCATTAACGCACGTGCCGATTTTGTTCCAAAAATGAAATTTTACCATGACCTTGTACCGGTTTTTCTGACCTGACCCAAGGTCACCCGGACCGGAAATTTTCAGGTCATAGGGTAGTGTGGGGTAATTTGAACATATTTTTACGTCTTCTCCGTTGTACAGTCTCGCGGGTTTTAGCGGTAGGTCGCTCGGCGAGCGGGAGGGCAACCAGTTCCGCCTCTGTATCGATGACCATTTGCTCCGCCCAGTTACTAGCGAGCGCTTATTACGGCACATAGTGAGGAGGGGAGGGAAGGGTTAGAGTGGCAGCCTGCGTAGAGGCTAAAACCGGTTTTATCGCCTGGGCCGGCGACACGGCATG